TTGGCAAACTATTGGCCATGGGCACAATGTATGCGATCGCGAACACCCTCGGAAGAGTAACAATCGTGATCAGATAGGTTCGCCAACTATTGCTTGCTATTTCACAAACTGAAAATAAAGTCGTACATGGTGACAATTGTGATGATACCGTTTATTTCCATTAAATTGCAAAACATGCCCGACACTAAACATGATAAAAATAAAATTACAACTTAGTAGGAAACTAATTGATATTAATTTTGTATTACACATAAGGCTTGTTTTGCTGTGAATATTTTTGGAATACTACGTGCTTATGGGCAATGCTCATAAGAAAATGTAGAAAGATGTAACACGAAGTATAATTTATGTGTAAAATTTTATTGCATGTCGGAGGCAATTAATGTAAAGCGAACGCTATTTCTGCATCTACCACACGGTCTCCATGTGTCAATTTTGATCGACAGCCGAAGACTAAGAACTAATAATAGCCATTGGAAACAAAGCGAATAGAAAATTATTAACACCAAACAATATTCTTTTTATGTACACAGTAAAGTTTAAAATGAAAAATAAAATGACATACATGCCAATGCATTGATTTCACAAGTAATATATCGAAATGGTTAACTTACTAAGTATAATTCCTGTGTAGAAATAACCGCTTGCAAATAGAGATCTTAAAAATATTAAAAGATGAAACCAAGCCTCGGAGTCACAAAACGTCAAAATTAATCCGAAAAATGATTCCGCCACAATGTTTATGGTTATTACTCTTTTTCTTCCAAAGCTAGTGGGAGAAAGGGCTTTTTAATTAATGTACCTACCACAATAAGAAATTACTTAGTTTATTGAAAACAGGATATATTTAAGTAAATTGTTTATTTATACGCACATGGCGTATCTTAGTTTATTATAAAAATCGGTTTATCATGTTTTATACTGATATAAATGGTCGAGTAACTATACTTCAACTACGTCCTTAATGGTTATATATTAATTGCTTATTTCTCAGTATGATAAAACACTTTAATTCCAATGAACCGTGATGAATTCTTCTAACTGTATAAAATTCTATATAATTCTTTTAATTTATACTTGGCGTATTTGTGATCGAAGGTTTATTTAATTCAAGGACTTGTGAAGATCTTATCGAAAAGAGTAACTTAATTATGTTCTTAAAAGTAGAACTATAATTATAAAAATATTGCTTTTCTTATTAATTTAGAATGTCTTATACATGTATAATGTTATGCTCGTAACGACGTAACCTCTTTCGTCGATAGTAATATTTAAGAACAAAAAATATTTCCGAGGATAACCGCTTCCGCCAATACCAGTTAAGAGCCAAATTTGAGTGTTTGTAGTGCTAATTTGTACATAAACAATCGTATTATGAGTTTCCACAATACTTGTACAAGAATATCTTGTCATCCCTTTTATTCTACTTTAGTAAAATGAGATAGCAATGTTTGTTTTTGGTTTGTATTTCGGCAACATACGGCAACTTGTTAAATTTGGTCGACATTGCCGACATCCTTTTATGAAGCTTTCAGGGTTATCGTCTGAAATATTTTTTTAAATCATAGCAGAAACAAATATGAATGCTTGTATCAATAGTGATAAATTTAAACAAATATCGAAGGAGAGGAAATGCAAAATGAATAGTTTTTTTTCTTTATCACAGTGTAATTAATGTTCTGAGATATCCTCGTTCTTATATTTTTATTCGTTATTAGAATTGACATGTTTATTCGGAGTGTTTATTATGTTACAAGTATTTGTAATCATGAATTAGCATTTTTAACAGTTTAAATAATTTTCTAATGTCAATGTCAAAAAAGCATCCTTCAAACGTTTCTGGTTTTTACTTGCTAAGTGGTTGTTACGCGGAAGCTTTCAAAACAGAAGTAGAATCAATTTTTGGCCAGCTAATATTTGTTTGCTCTTAATATTTAATTTTTAGTGTGTTTTCGATAGAATATTTTTGTGTGCAAATTAATACTAGGTGTTCTTCTATTAGCTTATAGTACTTTTATAATACTTATGAATCTTACAAGATTACCTGTCGGAAATTAACCCAAATATAATGCAGCCAAAAACAAACCCCAATCGACAAATTATCGTCGTTGATAGTAATTTAAATTTGTCATCGCAGAATATTAGCCACTAGATATTAAAAACAAAAAATGGTATATAATTTTAAGTCAGTATTTATGTATATTAATTAACAATAATATACTAGTAATTAATTACGCTGCTTACCGATTTTTTAAGCCAAATAATTCCTAAAAGTTTTGTACGCCATTTGTTACATTTAACCTCTTCGCTGATGTTATTCAAGATCGTAAAAGAACACAAACTTGAGTTGACAATGTCATGGATCTCTGGCAATTCACATTTGATATAATTTGTCGGTTTCAAAAGAAACATATCTTCATATTGGTTTAACATTGCGGGCATCATTAGCACGGTCAGTAACATCGTCACAAGCCACTGCCAAGTTCCCATGAGACCTAGTACATCGGTCGTTACATCTTCATATATGGTACCGATTCTAGAAACAAACAATGCATTATGTATACTATATATTAACACATAATGTACATTTCTATTCACCCCTCTAGACGTTTCTATTAACTGATTTAGAAGAACATTGCTTGTTGTTTAATTGTAGCAACCCAACAATAAACTGGGTCTTCTTTTTTAAAGTCAATTAAAACAAACAATCGAGGAAAAGCTTGTTCCTTTTTTGATTAGTTATGTAGAGTATTGAACTTAGGAGTACAAAATATGGATATTATTGACGTATTATTGATGGTTACCAAAATATAAATTACGTACATAGACATGTCTGCATTCCCGAATAACTAGTGTCAATAATGCTTGGCTGTCTAGATTTATATCTTATTTACATTAGAAAGGTTGTTGGTTCGTTGAACAATTGTTGTCAAGGTTTAATAATTTATAGATAAGCAAGAAGCAACTATACTGATTCGAATATAAGTAATAAGGTTCTAGTTAGAAGGTATTAAATATGTAAATGGATTCATTAGCAAACAACAATGTTAGGTAAACATATTTTAGAGGTAAATCCCCTAATGATTATTAAGTTTTGTTTTAAACAGGTAAGATTTTCCTTAAAGCTAAATTATGTTTAAAGTGTTTCCGTACAAATGTACTTAATTTAGTTAATCAATATTCGTAAAGGAGTTATTAATATCATGTTAATTGCTGTTATTGTATTTTGTTTATAAGCTAAAACATAATTAAATTATTTGTCTTGTGAGTTTTCTGTTTAATAGGTATACGAACGCAGCCGAACAAAATATTTAAACATAACAAATCTTAAAGATCTCTCGCGTTGTAATTGTATGTAGGTTTTCTGTTAATCCGTTACGCCTTACTTAACAGAAAATATATTGTCCAATGTCTTACGTTAATAAACGTGTTGATTGTTGATAGCAGCAAAAATATTTACAAAGCAGCCGTCATTCTAAAGATAGTGCAATCCTTTGCAATGACAATAACTAATTAAGAGATAAAGATAGTTATATAGGATATGAGATTCACTATATTGGTGTTATAAATAGTCTCTGTTAATTAAGGAATGCAGTGGGGACAAGTAACACATTAAACTTACAGCTACGACTTTACACGATGCTGTTCTATTTATAATTGGCTGGAATATTCTCTGCATACTTATATGACAAAAGAAATATATTTTGTGGACAAGAAGTCTTGGGAAGCATGCGGTCTGAGGAAGTCCAAGTACTATAAACCAATAAATATTTGGTGGAAGAATTAACAATTTTAGGCATAAAACGTAGATTAGCTATTGATTAATTTTATATCAAGTAAGTAGGTGTCTTGTTGAAATTGTTATATTGAATCGATTGAATCAGAAATGCGTCGTGCGTCTATATCCATCACAATACCCCGGTTAAATAATACCCACAGCTTTGTTGTGAGACGTTTATGAAGGTTATCAGACACCTAATTATTGTTAACGAGGAATTCTTAGTAGTCAAGGGCAAAATGCATCAATAAGTCGCTTTCCTATCGGAATTACAGGTATACATGGATCAGAATAATACGGTTTAAGCTTGTACCATGTACTGAAACTTGCGAAAGGCGATGATGCTGATCTTAGATTAGATTTAAAATAATGTGATGTGGTCTACAACTTTTCTATCTATGCATAGTTTAATTTTCTTAATTTCACTTTTTATCTTTGTTAGTTATGACAAAGATCATCAAGTCAAAGGTCAGGTTGATATAGGATGTGTGATGGGATATGATATAATTTAATACATTTTGGGATAATTATAATAATTAGGCATATTTAACTGTAAAAATGTGATAGGAATGAACAAAAGTTTAGAACTAACCTAGACGAAACCGGAATCAGACATGGGTTGCAGCCATGCAGCCAACAGAAAACACTGATGATGCTAATTTTATACTATTGGGTAAAATAGAAAAATGTAATAAAATTGAAAAAAAAATCAGAGTCATGTCTATGAATATTTCTAATTTACTGACATTAAACTTGAAAATAATTATTAATAATGAAATGCAGTGAAGCGTCGTGTTTACCCTACACGGCTTATTATTGGATCACGATCATCTAATTTGCTTTGTTACGTCATATTGTTGCGTGACTCGTAAACACAATGTTTATGGAATACGCCTGTTATATTACGACTTATAATTTCATGACCGATTTCATATTCGTTTCTAAGTACGATAATATATCGTGAAGGATTAGTTACTATTTAAATTTTATTTAAATCTTTAGTTAAAGTAAGTACTTTTAAATTTTCTCTAGTAATAAGGACGTTTTCTTGATCAATAGATATAATGGAATGAATTATGACAAAATGCATAGATTCACACTTTAATTCATGTTTAATAAAATAGTCGTACTATTTTTCTGTTTGATGTTTTTAATAATGATAATTTAGATTACACGGTACTTTGACCAAAGCTGCGTTGACGCCTCTCAATGGACAGGTATGATTTAATTTAGTGTAGATAACAGACGATGCAAGTTTTTCGCTCGATTGCGGTAAGCGAACACTGCGGGCGGCGCCAACACGATAACCGACCATTCGCTCGCTCGCCGGCTAACCCGCCTGGCGTGTCACTCCGCGCGCCGACCACCCGTCACCCGTCAATGGTGTTTGTGATACAACCAGGGATTTTCAAACAAAAACAATAGGATAACCAACTTCAAAATGGATAAGGACCACGCTTTAGAAGAGATGATGGGGAAACTCGGTGAGTTATCATTCATGATATGTAGCATATGGTATTCAGAACTTACGTTTCTTAAAAGTAGTCGCGGCACTTTTACATTTCATATGCGTCTGACGTTACACGTATTAAGTGGTAATGTCCCGGTTTTGCTAACATGTGTTTCGTCGTTGTGTTCGCTTTTAGAAATGTGCACGTGAATTCGAATACGAAAAATATTTAACTTATGTAAAATTTGATAATTAAATTGGATAAAGTAATCTATGTATGTTACAATTTGTAAAATAAGTCACGTGGTATATGTTTATATCGTTTATAACTAAAAACTATGTCAACATAATTATTTAAAACCAAAGATGGTGAAAATTTAAATTTCTTGTTGATTACTTTAATGATATTTATAATTTTTACATTATGCCGCACAATTACTTTTTAAACGATTTTGTGTACAATTTCGAATCATTCTCTATTTCAGGTCAAAACTTACATTTTAAAATGACAATGGACATTTTCTGTTTCTATATACTCATATTCAGGGTTATTAACCGGTGGACACGACGACCTTGCGACTATCTAAATTGTTATTTTAGTAACTGGGAGACATTTATTTAGTTTATGGATTTAACCTGATTCAGTGGTACAAATTCTCGGCATTTTGGAAGATTTGCCAGAGACTTTGACATTGTTTCGCGCGCCACTTGATCACGATCCCTTGCCACTTCTGTTCGTTTTTACTCTGTGTCGTCGTATAATGTTCCCAGTGCTATATTTATAAGTGATAAGCCGAGTCATAAAAAGGGGAAGAGTTATAAAATTAATTAATAAAAACACGCTTATTAGCTTTGAAGTTGGTTTAAAATTCTATTAAAATACCAACGAAAACTACTTTTATAATAGCAAATTAAATGGTACACTTTTAATTTTTGAATATTATAGTGTTATATAATTTTTTTTGGTATAAATAAAATTTGATTATAGAATACTATAATATGTTTTAGACTACCCCACGTAACGACAAATGAATTTAAATCGATTTTTACATAAAATTTATTTTAACAAGCACTTTAAATATTTTGCCCTACAGGACACCCAGTAAAAATCATTACAATACAGCGTTGTTAAGAAAGCGTAATTAAAATATAACCAAAATGTGTGGAAACGCATGTAGTTTTATTCAAGGTTGCCAATTGATCAGGGCAACAAGGGCCTGATGAAAGTGTCCAATAACATAACATACCTTTTTTACTTATTGTTAAGAAATAATATGTTGGTAATACCAAGAGTAATAATGCGATATTGGTAATAAAATATCCACTAGCCGGTTTTTATACTTATCACATTAATATTCATAAATCGCAACAGAAGCTTTTAAGTTATTGGCGCATATGAAACATGAAAATGGCATATTGATTTACTTGCAATGATTCCAGTGCCAAAAGTCTACTGATACAAGGCCCAACTGTTAATCTTTTAGTTCAAGTTCTATTCCAATTTGAATTCCAGGAATAATGTTAGTTTAGGTAATTGGTTTTTATTTACTGCGGTAATTAATATTGTCTTTATCTTAATAGAATATTAGTTCAGTATAAACCGCCACGTGATTATTGTAGTTTGGTTACAGAATCACATTACTATAAGGCTTCTGGCTTATCTGGAACTGGTAATCAAATCAGTGGAGGTTACCCGGCTAGTGAGGGAAGTAATATTATACGTGTAAATTTATATCACCTCGATTCCATTAACATCTTGGATCTAGAAGTTTCCGTTCATATTGTTTTATAGCTTTTTCTGTGTGAATACTAATAAGTTGCGTGTACAAATAATCGTTGCGAGTACATTGGGACACGACGATATCTGTTAAGGTTACTGACACAAAATGTAGGACAACGGTTCAACACGCAAACATTTTGGATATAAAATCGTTTTAAATTGTTAGTAATATAATCATTTTTGACTGCCGACTGATTGATTTGCTTAATTTATCAATGATTGTCGGATGGCTATGATTATGATGGTATTTATCGTATTTCTAGTCTATTGTGATCAATACCAGTTCTGAAAAAATTGGTGTTATTCAGATTTGGAATTGTGTCGTCATACAGTATCTCAAGGTTACAAGACTCCGTTCGGGAAAGTAAGGGAGAAAAGTCGCAAGTGTTTTGTTAATGATAAAAGTTGGAAATATAATAATATCTAACGGCATTTGTTTACTTTAGTACTCAGGTATTCTGTACTATTCCACTATTTTTTAAGCAGAGTATTTATTGCCAGCATACAGGATTGTCGTCATCGTGATTATTTTTTTGTATTAGATGACAACAAAACATTTTCATCAGAGATTTTCTTGGAATAAGTGATTTGTAAAGTCAATGAACTAATCCTGAATGACGTGAGAGCAGTTTTCAATGTTATTTTTTTGGCAGATGGCCAATGCATTGTATACGTTGCATTCAATAAACAAATAAAATAAACCAAAAACTTTTACCCACACTCAGTATAAAGTTAAATCAGATAATATTATTAGTAGGTTTTTACACAAAATAATATCAACAAATTACAAACCTAATCGAGTACAAATGTATTTATTTAGCTTGTAAATCACATTTGGCCATTTGTAGTATTTACATAGTAGCCAACTTATTTACATTGCATATTAGAAATACATATATACACAAAACATGTTTTCACGTCGAATGTGACTATGCATTATATTCCTCATGTCTTATTTTACCAAAAGAAACATTTCATAGACATATATTATTTGAACAAAAATATTTACGACTAGGAGGCTCAATTGTTAATAGGAAATATTTTTAGCTCCAGGTACGAGATTGGATCTCTTTCTATAGGCTTTTAAAAAGTTTTATAAAAAACTTAATAACAAGTTTTTTGGACGATTATCGATGTATGTTGACTTCGTCATTGCGTTCAAACATAACCCAGACTATACCATTCCATAAAAAGTACATAGAAGTAACTTCCATAGAAATTTCGACAATAAAGTGCGAGGCTAAGCATTATAGATGTAGTCTAGATTTTATTCCTTAGGAATTGCATTACGTATAATATGCGTGTTTAAAGTTGCTTAGTCATTAGAAAGAATGTAATAAATTGTATTCAGTTTGTGCAGCCTTTATTAGTTAGATGACTTTGTAAGAAATGATACCAACACAAATAAATCTGAATTTCGTAAATTAATTGTGTTGAAAACAAAACTATAAATCATGTTTTAATTTAAATTAAAATTTTGCGTCATAGAAAATAAATGCCTAGATTTGATTTTTTCAGTTAAAGGAGCTTATTGCTGTTAACAAAATATTTTTATCATACAGCTATCATATCTCAAACTTCATAAAACGTGATTTATCAGTGCGCTTCAACATTACGCCGACACACACTTTATTGGCACTTTTATCAAAATACACATGGTAACAACTTAAATAGTCTCTCGCATAGTTACTATCCAATATGGTTCTCAACTCGAAATTAACACAGATAATTAAACTTAGGTGTTGAAAATATTACAATACCAATGTTGATATGTTTGTTTTATCTGTACTTTCATCATTTAAATTGCCGCAAACTAAAACAAATTGATCGTTCGTCCTTTAAAATGATATGAGTCGTGCTAACGCATTTATAGATTTTGGCACCCGATGCTGAGATTTAAAGGTTGAAACGTCCATGACATTGTTGTTATTACACAGATTAAATCTTTTTTATAGTGGAATTATTTTACACACAATATTAAGATGAACTTATTATCTCAATCGAGTGTCTGGATAAAGGCGTCAGGGATCAACCAATTTTTATGACAATTAATCGGTAATCGTATGTCCAGCTTTGAATAAATGAAATCGGAAATTATAACAACGATCAATCTTAACCGTGTTTGCAACATAAAAGACTGGTTTTTAGTAGTAAAGACGTAGTAGAGTCAAGATTTGTTATCTATTTTTATTGATAATATTCAAATTCAGCTGCGCTTGTTCAACGAAAATTGTGTCGAGGATTTTATCACTTTCATTACAATGTTAAACATTTTTGACATGAAAGGCCGAGTTATGAAGGTCAATATTGTCGATAAGATACTAGTTATGGTTACAGAACATAGCTGGTATGTAGGACCTTCACTTCTTATTGTGCAGACGTTAAAATAAAGTGCAATAAATTATTTAATAATAACAATAATGTCAAATTATTACATTACTAGTTTTAGCCCGCTACTCGGCCCGCGCGGAAAGCTCAATTAGTTGCCTATGCGTTCTCCCATACAATGTTCTACATCTGTGCCAAATTTCAGCGAAATCGATTAAGCGCTCTGGATATACAGAGTAAAAAACATCACATTCGCATTCATAATATAAGTAAGAAACAAGATAATAATACTGGTAGAGGGTTTCATTTAAAACATATGTTAATTTAAATAATTCTATTAGATTAATTGATAAAGATTCATTGCCTATTAAAATACAGTTAACATTTCTAGTTTAACTATTGTATATTCTACGAATTAAATTCGCAAGTCCTTGATAAGGTACGCGTTATCGTTCAACGACTTTACGTATGGTAGTCAAATAACAAGATAATTCTTAAATGCCTACTTTAAAACGCGAAAGAGAAAGATAGTTCATTTGTTATCAATATTATGTAAATCTATGATGGATTTGCTTATTTAAATTAGAGTTGAATAACGCAAATATCCAATGAATATTTTCTCTGCAGGGAAACAAAGTTATCGTTGCAGACAGTAGCCCAAATAGCTGACGTCACTCTAGGAGACTTAAAAAATTTCGTTATATTACAGCAAAACCTCTTCGCTTGAGAATCGCATCAAAGCTATGCGGTTAAGCTTCTGATACCGTTGATTGTTACGTTACATAGTTTGTTGCATCAGAATTGTCATAATAGATTATTTTCGGGATGTATTAGTGAAATGTAATCATAGCGTTTCCCCGAGAAGCATAACTATCCAACCTACTACAATTTTACAACTGTGTATAAAATAAATATATTTTTAGTAC